GCTGTATGGAGGAGCAGCTGTATGGAGGAGCAGCTGTATGGGGGAGCAGCTGTATGGGGGAGCAGCTGTATGGAGGAGCAGCTGTATGGAGGAGCAGCTGCTGGCGCTGTATGAATGAGCGGCTGGTGCAAATAAGGTAGCGCTATATGGCGAAGCAGCTGGTGGCGCACTGCAGGAGGAGCGGCTGGCGCAAATGCGGGGGGCGCAAATGCATGACAAGCGCCATGTCTGCGCACAAGTAGGTGTCAGCTGATGCCGAAAGCCATCACGCATCATGTGAAAACCGTGACCAAGATGAGTAGGCACTAGGCATGGCACACGTTGATATGGGCTCAGATGATGGGCTTACGGGCAACTAGCGAGCTTTGTGGCAGCCTCATTCCGCGTCCCCGGGCAGAAATTGGGACAAAGCTGAGCTTGGCATATGATGTATGACATAATGAGCAGGCGTTTACTCAGAGTCAGAGTTGCGGACCAGTATAATTTGATATGTTGATTACCTCGCCTCCGTGCTCCCCTTAGCCGTAGGCTACTTTTAGAGCCCATTAACTGCAGAATATAGTGGGTCGTTTGTCATCCGTTAGGAGTCTCAGAAGGACCATGATGTGCGGCGCAACACGTGCTAAGTGGCCAGACGAGCACTGCACCCCTCGGTCAGACCGGCCAGTCGGGGGCACACCATAACACAAACTACGCACGGCTCATATCACATCACCGATCACACAGCTCTCACATCACATCACACAGCTCCACAGCACATGACACGTCATACCACAGGGCCCACGGCGCATCACATAGCTCAGCAGCACAGGGCCCCGCAGCACATCACAAGGCCCGCAGCGCATCACACAGCTCATCAGCACACGTCCCGCAGCACATCACACGGCCCCGCAGCACATCACACAGCTCAGCACACACGGCCCCGCAGCCCGCTCCGGTGTCGGTACGGGTGTCTGAGTCCCGCCGCCCGTACCTCCAGGACTATCCAACACGACACGACCTGTCCCTACATGTTCGGTCCGCACCACCACCCCTCCCAGTCCCCTCGCCATGCCCCTCCCCTCCCCGCCCCCCTGCCGGCTGCTCTCTCCGCTCGGCCGAGCCGCGACTCGCGGTAACGGGCCGGCCGGTATTGGTGTTGGTTTGCCTGATGCAACAGGCCCGTACTGCGGGCGGTTTCCTTGAAAACCGGCCGGCTGGCGACCGCCGCCGGTCCGTCCCCGAACCCCGGCAGTCCGGTCCAGACACGGCACACCAGTCCAGACATAAGACACCGGTCCAGACACGGCACACCAGTCCAGACATAAGACACCGGCCCAGACACGGCACACCAGTCCAGACATAAGACACCGGTCCAGACACGGCACACCAGAGCATAGTTACATGGTACACCAGAGACGAGTCCAAACACTGTACACCAGGCGCTAAGCACGAGACACGAGTCCAAACACTGTACACTGGCCCAGACACGGTAAACCAGATCAAACACTGTACCTACACCAATCCAGACACAGCACACCAGTCCAGACATGGTACACCAGAGCAGACATGGTACACCAGTCCAGACACTGTATACCACTCCAGACATGGTACACCAGTCCAGACATAGTACACCAATCCAGACAATGTATACCACTCTAGACATGGTACACCATTCCAGACATGGTACACCATTCCAGACATGGTAAACCAGTCCAGACATGGTACACCATGACCAGTACAGACATGGTACACCAATCCAGACAATGTATACCACTCCAGACATGGTACACCAGAGCAGACACAGTTCCTACCTACACCAGCCCAGAAACAGTATGTCAGTCCAGACATGGTAGGTACACCAGTCCAGACATCGTACATCAGTTCAGACACAGCATAGCACCAGTTATGGGGTGCCCATGGGTTATGGGTAAAATTGTTTGTTGTCAAATTTATCCTCATTGTAGTTCTTTGTCAGTCATTTTACAAATCAGTTAATGACACCATGTAATGAAGAATGTTGAAGTGACAAAGTTGTTCTTGTAGCTTTAAAGTGTAAAAGTTATGGAGCAGTAGGTACTCTTTGTACTAAAGCACTTGTCCTGGAATTAAAATACCAAATAGATGGGTGTTACGTTCCTATTTATTGAGAAGAAAAGCAGGTTCAAAGCATTAAACAGTGGCTTTAAGATCAATTTAATATGGTTCAAGTATTTGTATGCAAAAGACTTCTAAATCAAAGCAATTATACTAATGGTTCCAGTCAAACCAAATTAAGTCCAAGTGGTAGGTATGTAGGTTGGTAGGTTGTAGTTTGGTAGGTTGGGTATAGGAGTAGAGGAGGTATCGTTGGTAAGTTGGTAGGTTGTAGCTATGGTTAGGTCAGAGCCCTGGGTAAATATTTACATAAAGTCCGATCCATATTTCAAGCATAAATTTTGCATATTCTTACGTTATTTGACATCCTGAATGTAGATATGATGCTTACATGCGGCGGAAAACAGTGCTACCATATTAAAAATATTTGCTACCATATTTGGGGAAATGTTGGGAACCGGGGTTTTTGGGTGGGGGAGGAAATACAATGCCGTAAGAATGGTTATGAAAGTTGGGGGAAACTGTTGGGAACCGGGGTTTTTGGGTGGGGGAGGGGGGATCGGGGTTTATGGGTATGGAGAGAAACCCCGGTTCCCAACAGTTTTCCCCAACTTTCATGACCATTCTTACGGCATTGTATTCCCTCCCCGACCCAAAAACCCCGGTTCCCAACATTTCCCCAAATACGGTAACAAATATTTTTAATATGGTAAAACTGTTTTACGTCGCATGTAAGCATCTTATCTACATTCAGGATGTCAAATAACGTAAGAATATGCAAAATTTATGCTTGAAAAGTGGATCGGAGAGATAAAATTTACTTACCTCTAATCTAGTTCACCGTGGTTTCGAAAAATACGCTGGACGCGTTGGCGTTCCTCGTTGCGGTACGCAACTGAAACTAGTTCGTATTCCTCCCACTTGCACCCGGAGCACAACGAACCACCCGGCACGGAAGCCATGATCCAACTAACAGACTGGCGGGAAATCGGAAAGCACTGGAAAGCACCTGCTAAAACTGGTTCAAACCAGTTTGCTCAAACGGAAACGGAAGTTTCTGCTCTAGATTACAGGTACGAATGGAAAGAAGTTTACGTAAGGTCATAGCTATTAGGCATATTTGATAGAAAAGATATCATAATTATATTATTTGAACATAAAAAATAAATAAAAAATCATGAAAAAGCAATTTGAATGTAAAAAGCATTACTTCTTCTCTATTCAAATTGTTTGATGAAAGTGACGTCAAAATAACAAAACACGAAAAAATGTTTAAAAAATTGGAGTTTTGTTGGGTAGGATAGGAAAAAAAACACGGCAAAAATTGTCAGAACCTAATCTAACCTGACCTAACCTGACCTACTGATTTTTGCCTACCCGGGGATAAGGAAACAGTTGCTCGCATGAATAGATTGCAAGCAATGGTAAGTCAAATATTTTTAGGTTAAGTGGTTGTGCATCAGGCCTCAGGCCTTCGGCCTGAGGCCAGATACACAACCACTTAACCTAAAAATATTTGACTCACCATTGCCTGTAATCTCTCCTAAGGCATTGCCTTCGGCACTGCACCGCTTCGCCACGATCATTTTCATGACGTCACTTTCATAATGAGATTGAAAGGCGTAATGTTTTCACTCAACCTTGGAGTTTATTCATTCGATCCATCTCACGTGGCGCAAACGGCTGATGGAGTGCGTTGACGGTGGGTGTCGTGGGATGGTGACCTGCGGCGACGGTAAATATTGCGCAGTTGCTTTAAAACTTGGTTGCGCCATAAATAACTATCAGATATGGAATCAGGAGCTCAAAATACATCGAGTGGTGTGGTTTTTATAATCGTCTTGTTGATCGGACCTTATGTATATAAATACCGAGCCCTGTTCAAGTGTATGTGGCTGCCAGATCTCCCGCAGTAAAAAAGGCTGGGCCTAGCCAAGGCCCTAAAAACAAGGTTGCACGGACTAATTTCTACTAAATCTACCAGAATATAGTTTACCGGTTGGGTATTTTAATAACTATTCAATCAAAACTTCTTTATTATTTTCTCGTTATCATTTATAAGCAATTTTATAAATTGACTTTCAATTTACTTGCCTTTTACTGGCAAAATAACTTTCTAGTATTGGGTCAACATAGTTGTGTAGCAGTAGGAACCATATCTGGCAAAACCCCAATGCCTACATACAGCAGAAAAGCAGCCACCAGGTGTCGCCACAGTCGCCACTTGGTCGCCACACAGATGTCGCGCGCGTCGCCAATCGCCACACTACCGATTTCCATAAGGACGCATATGTACGGATATGTATTGGAAAGTCGCCCTTAAGGATTACGCTTACATCCTTTGCTTATGAGGTCGGTGGTTGGAAATTGGGAGGGGCTCAGCTATTTTCGACCACGGATATGGCTTTATCACATGATGAGGAACATGCTGATAAGCGTTTTATGTGCCATAACAGCACATTAGTATTTTTAATCATTTTTCAAAAATAGCCAATCCGCCGTATCCTTCAGTGCAAAGTGCCGTCGGTCAGTCCCGACGTGACGTCACGCAGGGAATTTGCCAGATTTTCCTACTAGACTTCGACACCCCCTGGGCCTAGCTAAGCAGGCAATCAGAACAGCGGGGACTGCCATCTATGTGTCGCATGATTGACCGCTTAGCTAAGTCCCACCTTTTTTACCGCAGGAGCTGTGGCAGCTGCAGCCACATGAACAGGGCCCAGGTTAGAATGTTTTATCTACTTGGACTTCACTCTTCACAGCTTCACTCTGCCTACAACCCAATGACGTAGGAACAATGCTGCTGTCATATTTGCAGTGCTGGGCACAATCTACCTTCACTCAAAGATCACTGAAAAATAACATGCGGTTGCTGAGCACCTGAACACAGCACTCGCTGGCTGAATGCTCCAATAGGCACTGACCTTTCCTGTGAAGGCGATTTTGGTCATGCTCTGCCTGGACAGCAATCTGCAGACTTGCTGGATTCCAGACATCCTTATTCTTGTTGTTCTATGGCACACAAGGGAGCTGACGCACAAACGTGTATCACCGGACTCTGATCTTTGGAAATTCTTTAAAAGATGTCCGTCACCGCTCACATTAGCTTCGAGACTTTCAAAAACACCTCTCACTTCAACTTTGGTCCTCGATCGCCAGGCGCGTCGCACAAGCCTCCAAGCTTGTGCTGTTTCAACAATAAAAACACAATGAATACAGGGTCAACGTTCACAACAAGTCTATGATCAAGTTCATAATAAGGAACCTGAACCACAACACACCAACACCACAGCAGTCACCGCTGATCAATTTTTCACGACACCCTCACTCTCCAGCTCCAGTCAAAATGCCAAATCAAAATTACCAAGGTTTGGGGAAAAATAAGAGGACCACATGTCCATCAAGTTAGCGTCGTATACGTATTCAGATTCAGGGCCTGTTCCAGCGCCTCCAGTAGAAATTCTTGACTGGAGGCTCTACCAGAGGTTTCACTGGAGGCGCTGGAACGCAATCTGGAGATTTCTGGAGATTGGCATCACAGATACCAAAAGAATGGCGATTGTTCTCTCTTGAAACGCAAAATTTCTTTTCAATTTTATTAAGAAAGATTAACAAAATTATAGCAATGTAATTTTCTTTACATTCAAGTTGTAAAATAGTCAGTCAAAAGTCCTTTGTTTACATTCGTGATTGTCACATGTGCGCCATAATTGTAGACCAGAGCCTCCAGAGAAATTTGGACCTCTCAACTCTCTGGAGGCTACTGGAGGTTTCTGGAGCTTCGGCGAGAGCTTTCTGGAGCTTTCTGGAGGCGCTGGAACGCTCTCTGGAGGATTCTAGAGCTTTCTGGAGCTTTCTGGAGGTTTCTGGAGGCGCTGGAACAGGCCCTCAATTTCGAGCAATGACCGCTCAAAATAATGGTTTACACGGCCTTGAGTTTACAGATAGCCCATGGCACGCTGGCATGTTTATTAATCCCACCCAGAAATGACAAACAAAGCCTCTGATTGGCCAGTTTTGGCTGACAGACGCAGAATATTTGTCAGCAATAGAATACTATGCTTTAGCACGTTTTCAATAATGACGCATCCGTTACATTTACAGGTTAGGGCAGCTAAAATATTGTAATTGATCTAACATGTTAAATATAACACTTTTGGAAGCCCGTAGAGATTGTTTCTAGTGAGTTAGGTGTTACAAAGTATTAAAAGAAATGATTGTTATCTGTTAAATAAAGAACAAAAGCTTTTAGCTACTAACATCCGCCTGACAGTCTCCAGAATCCTGCGTACGGGGACACCGCAGTCTCTGTTTCTTATGCTTTCGCAATGGGGAAAAATTGAAATTTTAAATGAGTCAGTATCGTGTTAAGAAGTACTGATGCTTTCAAAACTAAATGCTTTTCAATTCAAATTCCAGAATATCCTTTCGCGGAAATAGCCCTTCTCAGCCTGTCTCTAACGCTACAAGTCTGAACAGTGAGCGTCTCATGCGTTGCTCACGTATCGCGATAAAAAGGACGGTGTCATATGATCAAATGAACTTTTCTTATGCATAGAGCATTTGAAACCTCACACCAAACGCCTCCCTTCCTTGTTTTCCACTGCTGCCTTTCACATACCTTACCTAGTACCTACCCAATGACCGTTCCAGCTCGACATTCCTTATCGACTGCCTCACATTCAACGGCCATATCCCACCTACGCTGAAAACCAATCGGAGGCACTTTCAATCGTCCCTTGAATACAATTGCTACCTACACGCATTTAGAGGAGAACGAGGCCCAGAAAAGGCGTGCATAAAACGATCGGTTTCGGCCCCCATGGAATAAGCCAGGAGGTAAAATCATATTGATTGAAGAACATTTTCGAGGACATGATATCTATCAGATATTACTTTGCAAAGGTATTGTGAACATAACGTCCGCGTATCGCAGCTCTGAATCTGCTGGTGTCAGTCCCATGCAGCAGCCACCGGACCACTGCCCCGCCGCCTGCCGTTCGCTGATCATACAGGCCGGCTGTCCCAGTGTCTCATCAAACGATCACAGCTGACTCATTATTTATAAAATGCCAAACAAAAACAGACACCCAATATTATAGATCACGCCAGCTCTTTCAGTCATGCGCGTGGAGATATATCGGTAGTTTTCCTATCACAGATCACACTGAACAGAGGAAAAGCGTACACACGCAGCAATAAATAATGCATTATCAAGTACACCGATCGATGCATCGTGGAATACACCGAAAAAAATACATCACTGCTTTAACGTTCCCCAGGTGGGTGGGCCGTCGGGGCGTTTTTGGCCACACCTGACAATTTTGTGCTTGCATAGATAAAACGACACGAAACTTAGTATAGCTTATGTATAATGCATCGATTCGCATCAATTGTGAAAAAAAGTAACCCCATGTCACCTAAGGTCAGGTCAGGTCACCATGAAGTAGAAGTTTGAAACTCGAGCTATTGCATGAGAGAATCAGTACCAACATCTTGAATATCTTTAATTTTGATATCGGTGGTGACCTAGGGTCAGGTCAACTTTGCGACGTCTCCAGTTTCAGTCAGTATGAGGAACTCGAAATCGAAATGTTCTGCTTTTGAAACAAAAGCACTCAAACATCGGGATCTATCGTATGCTCTTGAGGTCATCTCAGGTCATGTAACGCCTCCCAACAGTTTATTTTTGTACATCGATTTTAGATGGAATGTGGCCAGAGCGCTAAAAGCATCATAATCATAGGCGGCGGAACAGGCCGAGGGCACCGAGGCACCGTGCCCCCTTTGATTTTGGCATTTTAACATTAGCCCTATGGCCGTTGCATGGAAAGAATGAGACCAAAAGTCGGCAATGCCCCCTTAATTGAAGGTGTTCCGCCGCTACTGATGTTAATCTCAATTTCAATGTAACGAATCATCAATGACATGCAAAATGGCATTTTCTGCGACATTGACCTGAGGTCAAATTTATTAAGCTGACCTTGTTAGGCCAAGAAGACGAGAGAAACGCAGTGCCGGTAAAATCAACGTAATAAAAGGTTGGTATCAGTTTAAAAAAATTTAAAGAAAAGACGACTTCCGAAGCAAGCCGATTGTTCAGTTTTTGCCCTTTGGAGGCTTAACCCTAGTTGACCTTAGCTCAAATCTGAGAACCTGAAAGATTTTCGAAAGAGCTATCGAATTCGCTTTTCCGCGGCGCTGTAGCTTCTTTGGTTCTCGAATTATGAACCAATTTGTGAAGTTGTCAAAATCGGGGGCCAAAATTCGTCATCATTTTACTTTTGGTGACCTCCAGTGACCTCAGCGATGACCTGATCAAAAATGACCTGTATGATTCTGAAGAAAAATAGCGGTCTATAGATTGATTTTACTGCGTCTTTCCAGCTTTGCTACATTCCAAGATAACCTGGTGTGGCCGAATACACCTCCCCCCCCCCCCCCCCAAGTTGGCTGAGGGCCACCCGGGCGCGGGTTAATAACATGGCGCAACAGGTTTTGTTATCAACTTGTCCTTTTCACACATAGGCGACACTAGATATCACAGCCAACGCCTATAACCAAACTGGTGGTGGGCTTTGGCCAGCGATCGCCGATCGGGGCCAACACGGGCTCTTACTCGTCCACAATCAGCAAGAATGATGAACTACAGCTGCTCCAGACCGGCCACTTCAATCCAGCGTGTAATCTTCAGTCCACATCAGAACCACTAGTGAAACTCTACTGAGTGGGCCAACTGCACTGCATCTTTGACCTCCTTTGCAGCTCTGGCTTTTCAGAATTTGAACAGCCTTGAGCCTTCTCTTTCCCACCCTTCTGTGCTGATGAATGATGATCCTTTGGAAACCTGGAAAAAGACAGTACAGACTCAGGGAGATGAAACTGTTTTGCTATGGGTCTGTTCCAGTCGCACTTCCTAACACATCTAAACTCCTCAAAGAGCAAGATAGAGGAGGTTGGAGCAGGGCCCTTCTTGGCTTTGTAGGGGCGAAAGCTGCCACTGGAACAGGGAAGCAATCTTGGAGGAGTTAAGAGGTGTTAGGAAGTGCGACTGGAACAGACCCTATGACAATGTCTGTGCATAGAGCAAGCAGATGGTAGAAGTGGTCAATTGGTGAGTGGAACAAATGCAAATGTCAGGAAAGCAGTCATATTTTGTGATAGACATGGTGCAGATGTTGGCCAAGCTGACAAGGCAGATATAATTACCAGCTTGTTATACTAGTCTATAACTCATCATATTTTCATGTTTAACCCTATTCCTGGCGGGCTCCGCCGGGACAAGAAACTGGCGGGGGGGGGGGGCCGATTTGGCCCCCCCCCCCTGAGATCTCGAGAACGAAGCAAGATAGCGACAAGCGGTAAACGGCATCGGATACGCACGGCCAAGATCTACAATTTTTACTAAGGTCATTTTCAGGTCAGGTCAAAGATGACGTCACAGGGGTCGAAAAAGTCAAAATGGCGGCACTAGATATGGAGAGAGTTTTTCTCGAATAACTTTCGAATTAGTCAAGATAGGAACAAACTAAGGGCATCATCGTGATCCTCTCGTCAATCCGCATCGAATGATATATATGTTGACCTCGAAAGGTCAAGGTCAAAGGTTGACCTCAAGTCACGTGACCTCGAGGTCATCATGTATATCATTCGATGCGTCTTGACGAGCTGAACACAATGAGACCATCCACGCGTCTGTATCTTGTTCCTGTACGGAGTTATTGGCCAAAAACCTTTGGTGACCTTTGATGACGTCACATGACCTCACAGCTGCCCAACAGCAAAACAGACCTCAAGGTAGTGAAGGTTGATCGTATATGAAGTCATGTATGGTATATGGGGCCATTCCGACCCGTTTTAGTGGTAAAAACAGGGAGTTGATTTTTCCCCCATTGACTTATAATGGGGAGGTCGCGAAATTGACCTGACCTTAGGTCACCGATATCAAAATTCCGAGATATACAAATTGCACATACTGGTACCCTAACTAAACCCTGAAGAGAAGAAATTGATCGGTCAAAAACTCTAGCTCTGGCGTGATTGCAAACTTTTCTGAGGTAGGGTCACCAAACCGCCTCTGGTGACCTGACCTGAGGTCAGATCAACTCAAAATTTTCAGACATGTTGCGTAGAAGCCTTTTAGGAAAAGTCAGAAAATTTGAGCTTCCTAGCTCAACGCGTTTGGGAGAAATAACCAAAAAACCTCAGGGGGGGGGGCTCCTGAGGCCCCCCCCCCCCCCCCCGCCAGGAATAGGGTTAACAGAGGGAATAGGGGAGAGTGGGGTAAGATGCCCAGGGTGGGAAAGACGCCCCACCCCCTCTAGCGGCGAAACAAAGAATC